CCCCTCCGCCCGGCCGGGCTTACCGTCTCGCGCAGGTAGGGCAGGAGGGAGCGCAATGCCAGGACCGCGCCAGCCAGAGGCCCGCTGCGGCCCAGCTCCTCCCCGCCCGGCTCCGCCTCCGGCTTCTCGGCGCCCCCAGGCTCGGCTCCGGAGCCTGTCGTGGTCGCCACCCCTGAAACGCAGGGGAAATCGAGTTTAGGCCACAGGAGAAGAACTGTGTCTGTTAAGTTTAAATATGCACTGAGTGTCCACTATCAGTCACTGTCCCTGGAATAGGTGGCTTCCCAACCGGGCGTGGAGGCCCAGGAGGCTGAGGCAGGACTGCCCTGAGATCAGGCCATCCTGGGATGCATAACTCAGTTCGAGGCCAACCCGAACTGTATAGGGAGACCCTGTCTCAAAAGAAAAGAAAAGCACAGATCTCAAAACCAAACAATGTAGTTTCCCAGAAGACAGTTACAGGGAAAAGAGCTCCAGAATGCGGAGCTGCCTACCTTTCCCCTCAGAGCGCCTGACTCTAACGCACAGGGTCTGTGGAGTGGCCAAGGCTAACTGGTCAGGCGCGGACTCTCCTCGTCTTGCTTCACTGCCCTCTGCTCTCCTTGGCTCTGGGGTCTCACCCTTGGGCTCCTGCACCTCCGTAGTGTTTATTCCCCCTCCGTCTCGCCTCCGGCAGCGAAAGCCCTGCAAGGCGTCCTCAGGACGCTCCCGCTGCGCAAGTGGTCAGCAAGCTTTACCTGGAGCCTCGTCCTCCTGCGGACTCGGGCTCTGAGCCGCTTCAGGGGCGCCGGCGTCCCCAGCCCCGGGTTGGCTCTGGAGGCCAGGCTCCTCCGGGAGCTGCGAGCTCGGCTCTTCCAAGCTCAGGTCTTCGGAGGTCTCTCGTGGGAAGGGATCGCCTGGGGGCGGCTGCATCTCTGTGGGGAGAGGAGCTGCTGGGGCCCAGACGGACGACAGCCGGCCTGCCCCGGTGCCCTGCACCTCAGCACCTGCCGTCGGCCACAGGGAGCGCAGCTGGCAGGAAGCAGAGCTTCCACTGCCTGAGCCCGCAAAAGGGCGCCGCACTGCGCTGCCAAGCTCACAGACGCCTTGACCCCTGCGCACTCATGTCGCACATTCGGGAGGGCTGCAGTCGTGACCTCCTCTGGCACGCCCGCAGGTGCGCACACAAACGCAAGTGTGCACACAAATGCAAGTGCAGTCCGTCCCAGGCCAGGGCGGAACGCACCGCCTCTGTCCCGCCGGGAAAGAACGCAGGCTCTGCACAGCCCTCGCCTGGAGGTGCCCTGGAGGAAGGCAGCGCGGAGCGCCACGCTAAGAGCCAGAGACCAAACCACTGCCTTCGAGAGCCGCAGGGCTCAGCCAGTGTGACCCTCAGGAGGGTGGTTTCTTTCCAGCTTTCTATTTCACTTGGGTTTTGCACTCTTACCCAAAATATATACACTTTTTTTTGTTTTTGCTTTTGTGTTTTGTGACAGCTACTATGTAGCCCAGGCTGGCCTCGAATTCACAGGAAATCCTCCTGCCTCAGCCTCCCCATGTGCTGGAATTACAGGTGTGTACCATCACACCAGGCCAAAATATATCCATTTTGATGAAGGGCAAAAGTGTTTTCTCCCCCAGTTCTCGGAAAAATTTAGCTTGCTGGGAAGACAGATTTTCCTGCGGCTCCCTGTCCTCCTGGGTCCACAGGCCTTGGGCTCACACACCCGAGTGTGAAAAGCAGTGGCGACTGAGAACAGAACCTGGAACTGGGGCCACAGAGCCATGTCCTGGCTGGAGGAAGGTCAGCCAGCACTGGCCACCTGGCTGCCGTGTGTCGGGTCACAGAGCGCCTCCTGGTCAGGCTCCAGCTGGGTCAGCCGGGCAGTTTCTTGTTTCGTTCTAGCACTGGGGATGGAAGCCAGGGCTTGTAGGCTCACCACCCTCGATAAAGGCAAAGGGAAGAGCCCCAGGGTCCAGTGCTGATCACTGGAGCAAGCGACCCCCCCAGAGGCAGGAAACAGCATGACACCTTGAAAGGTACAGGGGAAAAGGAACTCCGCCAAAGCATCATGGGAAAGTCACGCTGGTCCCTCCTCGGTTAGAGAACAGTTACCTTAAGATTAAGAAGCTGTGTTCACCCAGATGTGGTGGTGCATGCCTGTAATCCCAGCATTCGGGAGGCTGAGGCAGGAAGATTTCTGTGAGGTCAAGGCCAGTCTGGGCTACAGAGTTCAAGACCATCCCAAACTAACTGCGAGACCGTGTCTCAGAAGGCTAAAGAAGCCGTGTGCACTGCTCTTTAAAGCTTTTCCATAACTGCATACGAGCTCTGTTAACAGGCCCCTTTGTACATATTTTCTTTCTCTATATCTTTCATCTTTCCCTTTAGATTTTGTAAAGTTTCCCTTTGAAGATGCTAACCAGTCTGAACTGTCCTAAGGGAAATCAGAGTAAGGTCTGCCTGCATGTTCCCGCCCGGAAGACAGGAAGGCGGGACATTGGGCCTCCTCTTCTGTCAGCATCCTGTGGGCCAGGGACTCGAACAGAGTCCCATCCACAGCTGTCCCCCACCCCGCAAGGCCCAGGCAGGACGGACTCTACCTTGGGTGGGTCTGCTCCAGGCTTCCCCCAGTGGCGGGGCTGTGGTCAGCGGGGCGCGTGTGTCCTCGGCCAAGTGCTTGTACCTGACAAAGTAGATCAGGTCCTGGACATCGTCCAGCACCGCATACTCTGCCAACTCCTCCAGCATGCTGTTTCTGGTCACTCGGGCATCGAGCATTTTCTCCGCTGCACTCAGAATCTGGGACTCGGAGGCCCGGAAGACTTTGTCCAGCACCTTGTCCACGTTGTAGGGCAGGCTCTCCCGCTGTGCGGCCCTCAGCTTTGAGGACATGTCCTGCAGCATAGCTTCCAGCAAGCGGGCGTCGAGGTACTTGAGGAAGCGCTGCAAGGACTGCTGCTCCTTGAAGAAGCTGCCGATGACGGGCCAGTCCTCCACGCTGCCATCCAGCCCTGCTGCAAGCCCAGCGTGTGGACTCCCCGGGGACGGGTCGTCTCTGGGGTCTGCAGAGGCGGGCCCCAGGTGTCCCGCATCCCCAGCCTCCTCAGAGAGCTCCCCAACGGGCCTCTCCCCATCCTGCCGTACACCCGCCACACCATTCTCCTGCAGCACCTTGCCTGGCCCTGGCCAGGGGACTCTGTCCTGGCCCTCAGGGCCGCTGGATTCTGGTGCTGCCTGGGCTCCATCCCCGTCCCATGTGGGAGGACTTCCGTCCTCTGCCCCCACCTCCACGCTGCCTGGCCCCCTGCCTCCCTCTCTTGCTGCAGTAGCATTTTCTTTTTCAATCACAGCAGTCACATTCAGGTCTTGTTGGTTTTCTTTGGTTTCTGGATTGAGACGAACAGTCCCTAAATGCGCTTCCTCAGAGCGTCCTGGACTAATATGCGACTTCCTGTCCCAGACTTCCGGGAGGATTTCTTGAGACTGCTTTGCACTTACAGCGTTTTCATCCTCCATCAGCTCCTCTGGGAGCTCCTCCTCCTCGCCCTCCTCCTCCTCCTCCGTCTCCCCCTCCTCCCCCTCTGTCTCCGCAGCAGGGGAGCCTGGAGCAGCCGTGCTGCCCAGTCCCCCTCTCTCCTCTGCCCCGTCTGCCTCCTGCTCTGCCTGGGGCTGAGCTGAGTCCGCAGCCGACTCCGTGTCCTCAATCGCTCGCTGACCAAGGGCGGCGGCCGCATCTCTCTGCTGTGGCGGGGAAAGATTTCCTCCCAGAGCGGGGACCTCCTCTTTCGATTTTCCTGACAAACCTGCTCCGGCTGGAGAAGAGAACTGCGGCTGACGTTGGGCTTTAAGACCTGGCTCCTCGTTGTGCTCCTGAAGTTGGCGCTGTGCTGCACTGGGGTGCCGGTCGGGTCCCCCTGCCGAGCCCCCTGCCACCTGCACCCCGTCTCTGGGTGCACTGTGCCGATCCTCCCCCGAGGGCTGCTCGGCCCCGGAGAGCTCCTGCTCTCGCACCCTTCCTGTCCGACTACCTGCTGTTTTCTGCTCCCTGCCACTCTCTGAGCTGCTCTTCGAGCCACCAGCCGGGGTCTCCGCTGCAGGCTCTCCTTCCTGGAGCGCGTCTTTTACGACACGGACACCTGCTTCCTGCGGGTCACCATCTCTGTTCTCCAAGGCTGGTGGAAGGGGGTCTTTGCCTTTCTCGGGACCCGGCCCAGTCCTCTGCCCATCAACCCCCGGGAGCTGTGCACCCTCCGACTGGGATTCATCTTGCACCAGGGCAGCTGTGGGCTCCTGAATATCCCTGGCTTTTTCTTTATTGGGAGGTTCTGTGTCCACTCCTGGGTCATTTTCATCATTTGTTTTAAAGACCTCTACAAAAAAGTCACCAGGAGTTTCAGGGCCAGAAGAACCCGCGGGCGTCTGTGGGCTCCTCTGTTTGCTCTCTGGGCCTGCAGCATCATCGTCTTCCTTTTCTTCCTCTGAATCAGAACCCTCCAGATCCTGGACACCCAACCCCTCGTCGCCTCCTGTGACGATGGAGAAGAAAGTGTCCCCCCAGGCGGTCAGTATGTTCTTATCGCCAGTCCCCACGCCAGGGGGCAGAGCTGCCAAGACTTTGCCCTGCTCGTCCGAGCTCTGTGCCTCCTCCGCTGAGGACTTCTCCGGCCCGGGCCCCCCTGCAGGTCCCGGCTCTTCTGCGTCAGTGAAGGTCAGGAGCGGCAGCTCCTCCAAGTCGCTGTCATCCACCTCCTCCCCCTCCATCATGTAGGACTCAGCGTCCAGTGCCTCATCGAAGTCCTCTTCTGGTGCGGTCACCAGTCCTGTCGTCTCGTCATCGGACACCATGGCATCTGCCGTGGAGCCAAACTTTGTTTTCAGGTCGAGAGTCATTTCTTTCTTCAGGAGCTTGTAAGCATCCATCTTCTGCTCGCCAGAGGCCTGAGAACGAGAGCCGGTTCTGTTGCCTTCGCTTTCTGGCACTTTCAGTTTCTCCTGCAGCATTTCCTCAAAGGCCTCTGAGGGAGGTGGTGCTGCCTGAGCAGCCCCTGCCAGGCCTGGGTCTGTGGGAGGCTGGCGCTCCCTGGGCGGTGCAGGCTCCCTGAGGTCCTGGGAGCTCTCGGAGCGCACACGGCCACCTCCCTCTGCATCGCGGTCCACAGGCTCGTGCGCGGGCCCACTTCCTGCGGGCACTGCGGGAGGCACCTCTCCACGAGGAGGCACTTCCTTCCCAGAATCTTCTGCAGACTCTTCAGTTGCAGAATCATACAATTCCAAAAACCCTAAGAGTTCTTCCACATCATAGCTATCAAATTCATCTCTTCCCCCATCAAAGCAGACGAAATCCGTCTCCTGGAAGGGAAAAGGAGACAGTAGTTTCACTGATCACGGGTCACAGAGCAGCTCCTGCCAGTGCTGGTGACAGACAGAATCCCACACTCGGCCCTGGCGCTAGGGGGCTTGGGGCGACCCCAGCCAGGGCTGCTCCTGGGCAGTTGGCAGCAGGAGGCAGAACCCACTGTCCACTCCAGCCACACCCTCCCTTCCTGTCCTCTTCCCTCCTCAGGGAGTGAGGCTCACTCGCGTGGTGGAACCTTCTCCATCCCTCCAAGCCCCTGGCTTCACCGGGACAGGTCCCTCAGGTCGGCCAGCTCAGTCTGCAGTGAGTGAGTGAATCTCCCTCATTCTAGACGTGGTGTTAGAAAGCTCACTATGTTTACTTTTTTACTAAAGCATGGGCCGTGTTTTCTAAAAAGCACAATGAATAAAAAATGGCAACATCTTGGTCTCCATCTGCCTGACTCCTGGTCTCAGTCTGTTCAGAGCACAGATGGAGGAAACGGGGTACCGTTTATTAGGTTTCCGGCTCCTCACAGCCACACCCCATGACAGCCTGCGCAGGAGCACAGCCAGACCGTGCCCCCCACCCTGCGCTGCTCCGGCCCGCCGACAGGCGGCAGCACCTTCCATCAGGCTCAGCCTGGTGCTTGGTGCTTACTTTCCTTGGATGTCGAGAGACGTGCTCAGGGACACTTTCTCCGCGTCAAGGGAGATGTGTAGCTCAGTGTGAGACAGAGGCCCAAGCAGGGGAGGTCCCTGTGACCACGTCCTGCTGTCTCACATGTCCCAGGCCATCTCTTACCGACAGCAAAGCCAGCAGGCCTGAGAGGTGATCTGACAGCCCCTGAGACTGTCCTGAAATTCTGAGTATAGCAACAGCTCTGATTTCATCTAAGGACGTTCCTGTCCCATAGCTCATGTGCTCTGCAGCCACACAAGGGCCGCCCAAAAATGGCTCTTCAAGGGTGGACATCTGTTACTGCAAAGCCTAGACCTCCAGGAAGTAATCAGCGGGAACTGGGGCTCCAGGACACAAAATCCTGGGAAATCAGGGCCGCACTGACAGGAGGGTTATAGTGTGCGGTTGGAGCCTGCTCATCATCAGACATGCTCTGAGACTGGTTCCGCAGGTTCCCTTCACCCCATCGGTGACAGAACCACGGCCCCTTCAGTCACTGTCCAGTAAGGAGCTTGCATTTCTATCCCAGGACTAAGTCAGAATTTGATTAACTTACCCTTATCACTATATACTTAAGATGCCTGATAGTATTCAATGAGTGGTTTTCAAATTGGGATTCCTAGTCCTTGTATTTGTAAAATGAAATTATTTAAGTATTACATTTAATAACTGGGCACAAAGGTATTAAACTCTTTTTTTGTTTTGTTTTTAATTTTTTTTTTTTTTTATAAACTCTTAACTGTCACACACATGAAACAGCAAAGAAAAGCCCCGTCCACGGATGCCCAGCCTACGATCGGCACATTTGCTTCATATGTTACTGACAACCGGAGTGTGATGTGTTCTCCCATCAATGCTTTCCAAACTTTGCTCATTTTATAGGCAGTCTGGTTCCAAATTAAAATCTGATACATAAATGTTAGAATGTTTTTCCCCCAACTAAAACAAAGGCTTGCAAAAAACAATGAACTAAATATATAACTGATACATTTATAAGCCAATTTGTAATTGAGAACAAAACAGAAATCTTCAACTTACATCTGCCGGAACTTGTAGCTCCTCTTTGGTATATTCATAGTCTACCCTGATTAAATCCTTTGGGAAATACCCAAAAATACGCCCAACCTACATGAAAAAAGGGCAAAAGGGACAAACATCAATCATGGTCTGTGTGAGGAACACGAATGAGAAGCTTCTTAGAAGTGACAGGGAATACGCAGGCAGGTAGGTAGACAGAACCAAAAGAGCTAGACCACTGCTACGATTATTATAACGAGATTACACCCTAATAAAATTAAGTGCAGAATACTGTGAAACAGTTCTAAAGTCATTACAGTTTTTTCTATATTAAGCTTAATTCTAATCACACAGCACATAAAGTTAGATTTTAGAAGAAAATAAAAGATCTGCATAGGCAATTGCTGTACATTACATGATTAAAACTATGCAAAGCTCATTAGAAACACAACCCCAAATACCCTCTAGCAGAATTGACCCGAACATTACACAGAACTGCTAATAAACCAATGCATGTAAACCAACACACAACAGCTATGAAGATTAACATGTAAAAAGAACAGAAAAGTTTTGAAACGTATGACCATTACATCCAATGGCATATACTGATACGTGCTATCCTAGCTTTTTAAGAAACTACAAGTAAATAGGGAGAACATAAACTTACAGTGTAATGCATAATGAGCTTTGGTTTCATGCAAAATAAATTCTGTATAGAACAGAATCCCATTCACGTTTCTCATCAACAGGTGAGCAACAGAACAGATGTGTGTAAAGTGCCCCGGAGATACACACTGTCCTGAGTCAGGTACAGCCTGGGAGGGAGCCCAGGCCTCCTCCCATCATTAAAGATATGCAAACCGAAGCACAAAACGAAGCAAAGGGCCTCTTATCCCCAACTCTAAAATATCAAATTCACAAGACAGGTTCCGGCTTTATCTGGAACCCATCTGAAAGCTTGTTAGTCTAGAATTCTGCCATGAAGATTAGATAAAGCCGGGCAATTAAAAGCTGTGCTATTGGCAGATAAAGTCTGAAACTACAGGAAACCAAAACAGAGTGCAGACTAAAAGCTAAGAACCAGAAATGAGAATCACTTTCAAAACCTAGGGAACTTAATTTCCCAAGGAGGAGAACCACGAAGTGAGAGGGGCCAGAGGGGAAGACTCCATTCCTTCTGGGGAAAATTCTATTAAGGCTGAATCTGCATGAGGGAAAGAAACCAGAGATACGTGGAGAAAGGAAAAACATTTATCTCCGCCATCAGAGACCTTAGCTTATACAAAGCTCCACGATTATACACGGGGTGGTTTCACATTTCCTACAGTCTGACATACACACAAAAAAGTGGTGCAGAATCATGGGATCTCACGGCGGGGAGGATTTTCATGTCTAATTTTGCTTCTGTGCACCATCCCTGCCAAGCACTGCTGATCTGACTCGGGGTGGTGCTGCTGCGAGGATACATTCTGCATGCGGTCCTGTCAGGGCACATGTGACGAAGCACCACTGCCCGGGAAGGAAATGCTCGGGAGGCGGCAGTGGAGAGGGAGCCCCGTCCTTCCCCACGTTTGGACGCCAGTAGCTCAGACAGCACTCGGGCCGGCCACAGAGCGAAGCGCCCTCGGACAGCACCAACAGAAGGCAAATGCAGGCTATGAGCGCCAAGCCTCTGGTCAGTGCTGAGGGCATGGTTCCCTAAGAGGGCAGGACCACCACTGGCCCCAAAAAGAAGCAGGCTTATAGAGGTGGGTACCGCACGGAGCCTCACTGTGGTGGGAGGAAATGCAAGTCCAACTCGGTTACAAAGAACTCAAGTATGAGGAAGGGAGAAAAGTACTAACTGCTAGATGAGAAAGGCAGTGTGAACGCATGGGAAAGCAGTCCCCAGAATCAGTATCAGGACCTGTCGGGAAAATGCTGTGCCTGACCCCGCGACGAGTTGGGACTCTTCCCAAGGACTCTGACGGACAACAAAATGAACCTATTTTATTATAGGGCTTTCTCAAGCCTAATTTTGTGCTGCTTGTTTGGTGTTTTGCTGAGGGTGAGGACTGTCATAGTTGGGATGGACAATGTCTCTAAGTGGGAACAATCCCAAGGCTATCAAGCACCCTTGCTCCTAGTGGAAGTAAATAGTCCAGCTAGCACACTTCATAAAATGGAAAGGACAGGACTTATGATTCTCCATCTGCTGGGGGTGGGGGATGGTGCACGCCTGTAATCCCAGCACTTGGGAGGCTGAGGCAGGAGGATCACTGTGAGTTTGAGGGCAGCCCAGGCTACAACATGAGTTCAAGGTCAGCTTGAACTGCATAATGAGACTCTGTCCCCCCCACCCCGCAAAAGATTCTCCATCAGGTAACTCATAGTAAATCCCCTCATTAAAACTATCAAAGCACCATGCAGTCATTGACTGCCTTGTGTGACCTTAGCACACCCATTAAATGGGCCAGGACAGGACTCCTGGGGGACCTTACAGGCATGAAGTGGCTGAAAGACAAACAAAAGGTGACCCAGAAATTGCAATACAAAAACAGAGAGGGACATACATGGTGAGCACAATACTTTGCTTTCTTATAGAGTAATAACAGCACAAACACCTGGGCAACTGCTCCAGATCTGGCACTTTCTACAAATAGCAATGATACGGAAAAAAGGAAGACTCGCAAAGTCAGCGTGGAACTTGCGTGCTCCAGCCGTTCTGTTGCAGTTTACCATTTACATGTGATGCCTGTGGATCCTTCTTTTTTGAAGGAAGCAATGGAGTTAAGACTTTTCACCATTGCAACCTTTCTTCTGTCTGGAGCACCCCAGACCTTGATGCTGAAGGCATTAGTCAGCATCCGTTCTGTTCTGTTTTAGAAACCTCTGCTGAGCCCTCTGCTGGGCCAGGGCCCGCGGGGAACACCGGGCCACCTTTGTCCTCCACCCAGCAGGTTCAGCGGATTAACTCAGAGACCCCAAGCAAACAGTCACTTAAATCTACAGCGCTCTATAACTCTATCAAAGGAAGAACATAAAACATGTCCAAGTTTTACTTACACTTCCAGCCCACACTTCAGGCAAAACGCCTGCCAGTTTATAGTAGACATACACAGGGTCACCTTTTTTAAAATTCACAAAGCGACAGTCCGGGCCAGTGAAATCTCCAAGAGCTTCACCCCGGGCCATTAGCACTGTTATCAGGATGGAAAAGAAAAACAACACGTGTCAGAATTCAGCTTTCACAGTGCACGCTGAGTTATCAGGAAGTATACAAACCCCACTGCAAACAACAGCCGAGGGTTCCCCACACTCTGCAGTGGCTCCCAATCCTGAGTGGGAAAGTGCAGTCCTTAGAGCTTTATTGCTGCAGGCCACAACACTCCTGCAGTTACACAGGGAAGGGGTGAGTGTCTCCTCACATCCATGGCTGGTGCTAAGAAACTGGGCAGGACCAACGGAACCCCTGTCTCCTCTCTTCCCTGCTAGGCCTCTGTTTCTTCTGTTCCATCACCATAAAAAGCTTCATTTGCAAATATGTGCATGTGGTGCAGACCCTGGCCGGGTGGAGCAGGAGCAGGCACAGGTGGAGTGGAGAGCAAAGGGGAAGAGCGGCTGCAGCCCCCAGGGGGGCAGTTAGTCAGACCCCGCCCTGCCGCTGCGCCTGCTCTAGAAGCTGCAAACCAGGGAGCTGCCTGTGCAGCCAAGGTGTCTCCCCGCAGGATCTGGGGTCCGGGTGAGTTCACGCAGAGGCTAGCACAGCGGAGGACAGCGCTGCTTCTTATCAATCTCGTTGCATCACCAGGCCATGTTTACTCAGAACAAATAATGTGGATTGTACTCAACATTCGGAAGGCTTCAAAACAAACACTACCCCTATTTATGTTTCCCTAGGAGCTAAATCAAAAGTGGACACTTCATTGGGCAGGGGCAACGCCAAACTATAAGAACAGGCTAATAGTTACCATCCTGCTTAAAATGCGATCTAGAAACCGGGAGAAGCACACAGTTTCGGGTGTAAGGTGAAATGGACCTTAAATGCATGTAGACAGCAGAAACAAGGCAGAAATGGAAATAACACATTTCCTAAAAGCCAACTGGCAATGAAATATGTACATATTATTTTCCTAATAGACATAATTTATTCAATATGATCTAGTATTAAAATATGTACTCCAACAAATGTACGGACTTGGAGGGGGCAGTTTGCTTTTAGAAGCTCCACTGTGATCATTCTGACTTGCTGCCACCCTAACTCAGTTAATCGAATAGGGGGGTCAGGCTGAAGGGCTGGGTAGTTCCAGGTTGGGGTGCCACTAGAATTGGAAACAGCGGTGTTCCCCTGGATCCTTGGACCACGAGGGACTTGTAGTGACCGACCAGATGGCAACATGATGCGCACTGTCTGAGAAGGACACGGGACATGGCGCGTGCACATGTGTGTACACACACACACAAGCACTTCACAGGACTCAGGCCAGGGCCTGCTCCTGGTGCTGGCCATGCCTGTCTGGACAGAGCTCCCTCAGCCTGTGTCACAGCCCTGTCCCCCAGCAGCAGTCTGAGCAACAAGACTCAGGCTGTGCTTGTCAAGGTGACTTCCTTTGAGGAATCAGGCAGGACAGCAAAAACCCTGCCACACAGCTGCTGGCTCTCCTCAAAACCCTGCCGGGGATGGCATGGCAGCAGGGGCATCTCAGGGTTCATGTGCACCTGCCCTTGGGTTTCCTCTGAGAATGGTGTCAATGACTTAGCCTCACGATACCGACTTTCTTGTTCCTTCGTGGTAGTGTGGGGAGACAAACACGCAGATTATGAAGTTTGTTTTGGGTAACATCCATTTGAATGTAAAAGCTAAACTGCAGGTGTCTTGCCCTTTTGCGCCTGGATATTCTATATGAAGTCACGAACATTGCTGTCAGTGGGGTACAAGGTTACTGGAGACCAGGCTCCCTGGGCCAGCCAACCCAGAGGGAAAGGTTCCAGTAGCCAGCCCCAAGGCCACAGCAGGCTTGGCTTGAGACCACAGAGATGGAGCATGATGGTGACTGTAATGACCCTCTTCCTGTAAGTGGAAAGATCTCTGCTGCTCTCTGGGGCTGTCTTGGGGCCCTTCTAGCCGGTTGCTGGGAGGCCTCCATGCAACAGAACACCGGGACTGAGGTCAGCAGGGTGGGCCCCTCAGAACCTAGTGCGTGCCAACATTCCGGACTCGTTCAGATCTTAAACTCTGGACTGGGGTCAGCACAGCCCAAATCCCAAGGGCAGCTGCAGGGAAATAGCCCACAGCCCCTATCCACTGCCCTAGGCAGGGCATCACCCACCTAGTACTGGCAGAGTGGAAGGGGTCCAGTCTGTCACTAGGGACCGTGCCCCAACCGCCCTTCAGCAGGCGGAGGAAAAACGCCCGCAACACGTGGAGAAGCATCCTAGCAACCGGAGTGGGGATGGGGATCACGGGCCCAGGACCACTCGCCTAGGACCCCTGGCATATCGTGATCCCTCCAACCGGCTTGATCCTCGGCCTCCCGTGATCCCTGCCCCACCACATTTCCCGGGGTGGCCCGTGATCCCTTGTACCCCTCAGCCCCCAGGCTTCTGCGATCTCCCGCGATCCCCTAGAACGCCCGCGATCTCCCCGGCCCCCGCGATCCCCCAGGACCCTCACGATCCCCTGTGACTCCCGAGATCCCCGGGTACACCGCGATCCCCCACGGCCCTCACGGTTCCCCGAGATCGCCCACGGCCCTCACGGTCCCCCGGGATCCCCCACGGCCCTCACGGCCCCCCGCGATCCCCCACGGCCCTCACGGTCCCCCGAGATCCCCCACGGCCCTCACGGTCCCCCGCGATCCCCCAGGGTTCCCCGAGATCCCCCAGGGTTCCCCGAGATCCCC